GTCTGTCTGTCTGTCTGTCTGTCTGTCTGTCTGTCTGTCTGTCTGTCTGTCTGTCTGTCTGTCTGTCTGTCTGTCTGTCTGTCTGTCTGTCTGTCCTGTCTGTCTGTCTGTCTGTCTGTCTGTCTGTCTGTCTGTCTGTCTGTCTGTCTGTCTGTCTGTCTGTCTGTCTGTCTGTCTGTCTGTCTGTCTGTCTGTCTGTCTGTCTGTCTGTCTGTCTGTCTGTCTGTCTGTCTGTCTGTCTGTCTGTCTGTCTGTCTGTCTGTCTGTCTGTCTGTCTGTCTGTCTGTCTGTCTGTCTGTCTGTCTGTCTGTCTGTCTGTCTGTCTGTCTGTCTGTCTGTCTGTCTGTCTGTCTGTCTGTCTGTCTGTCTGTCTGTCTGTCTGTCTGTCTGTCTTGTCTGTCTGTCTGTCTGTCTGTCTGTCTGTCTGTCTGTCTGTCTGTCTGTCTGTCTGTCTGTCTGTCTGTCTGTCTGTCTGTCTGTCTGTCTGTCTGTCTGTCTTGTCTGTCTGTCTGTCTGTCTGTCTGTCTGTCTGTCTGTCTGTCTGTCTGTCTGTCTGTCTGTCTGTCTGTCTGTCTGTCTGTCTGTCTGTCTGTCTGTCTGTCTGTCTGTCTGTCTGTCTGTCTGTCTGTCTGTCTGTCTGTCTGTCTGTCTGTCTGTCTGTCTGTCTGTCTGTCTGTCTGTCTGTCTGTCTGTCTGTCTGTCTGTCTGTCTGTCTGTCTGTCTGTCTGTCTGTCTGTCTGTCTGTCTGTCTGTCTGTCTGTCTGTCTGTCTGTCTGTCTGTCTGTCTGTCTGTCTGTCTGTCTGTCTGTCTGTCTGTCTGTCTGTCTGTCTGTCTGTCTGTCTGTCTGTCTGTCTGTCTGTCTGTCTGTCTGTCTGTCTGTCTGTCTGTCTGTCTGTCTGTCTGTCTGTCTGTCTGTCTGTCTGTCTGTCTGTCTGTCTGTCTGTCTGTCTGTCTGTCTGTCTGTCTGTCTGTCTGTCTGTCTGTCTGTCTGTCTGTCTGTCTGTCTGTCTGTCTGTCTGTCTGTCTGTCTGTCTGTCTGTCTGTCTGTCTGTCTGTCTGTCTGTCTGTCTGTCTGTCTGTCTGTCTGTCTGTCTGTCTGTTTGTCTGTCTTGTCTGTCTGCCTGTCTGTCTGTCTGTCTTGTCTGTCTGCCTGTCTGTCTGTCTGTCTGTCTGTCTGTCTGTCTGGTCTGTCTGTCTGTCTCAACTGTCTACGAAAAAAATTTCCTATGATTTTCAAAGCATTTCAAGCTGTTTGGAGAAGATAGTTTTTTGGCCCTCCTAAAGAAGATAAAACTTTCTCCGTTCGCTTACTATCTTAAAATGGGCTAGGGAACATATTCTCAAAAAATTGCAATCAAAAATATGCAAGAATGTCAAAAATGGGCTTAGTCCCAGCACATCTGGCTGCTGGGAGTAAAATGGGCTTATCAGAAAGGTGAGAGAGAATGAACATGGAGGTGAACTCCTTTTGCCCCATTCTAAAATGGACTTTTGACGTCATCTTCCGCGAGCGATAGCTCAAGTAAGCTTGAATCATTTTGATTTCACCGCTTTGCCTCGCGGTTGCGATGGGATGAAAAATTTTGGATATCGTAAGCGGGAGCCGATTTCGACCACTTTCTAACGCGAACGAATAAAATGGACTAAGTAAGTCCATTTTCCTCCATTATGGACTTTCGTGGATATGAGTCCATGTGCACATTATTTTGGGACACCCTGTATAAACGCGATGAACGTCTTACGTACAGACAAAGAAATCTTTCTTCACATTCTTTTACAGTTTCTTGAGCGACAACATACCGGAACTGATGAAACATCGACTAAGATCGAAAATATTCTACTTAAGTAGGAACTGTGCGGGCGCTTTCTTCCAGTTTTTTTCTAATGTGTGCTATCGTTTTTATGGAGCTTGATGTAGTCCCGTACCTTGGGGAACGGCCATAGGTTGCCGGCAACGGTTGCCGAGGTTGCCGGTCGTTGTAGGACCTCATGGTGTTCTCTGCGTATTATGCGCTCTCTAAAACCCCAGCAACCTCGGCAACCGCGACCGGCAACCTATGGTCGTTCCCGCAAAATGACAACGAGGACAGTTTGAAAGTTTCTTCTAATTGTTCAAGTTTAAGGAATACATGAAAAGGTGAGTTTTTCGAAATACTCAATGTCTGCTAGGGACTTGTACTACAGAATGTTTTTGCGATACTATATCGACTAAGCTCCCCAGATTCAAGTTTGCAAAAATCAATGAAATCGATGGAACGACTGATTATACAGAAGGTGATTGTTGTGCGTGATCAGCATGCCCACTCATTCCCCACTGCCAGCCCCGTAGCTCAAACTTCACGAAGATTCAATATAATACCATAAGATTCAATATACCCGATGTCCCTCAGCCTTATAGTTGTCAATCAGTTGCTGTCATATTCGCCATGGCTTCCATTCCCTCTTCAGAGCTTGGCTTCCGCAGGAGTCCTATCGTCGTTTTCCTGACTGATGCATCGCTTCGGTTCGGATGTGCCGTGTTTCTGCCTGTTATTGCTGCCATCTACTTTTTTTCCCCCCATTAATGTTCCTGAGAGTGCCTTTGTTGCTGCAGTGCTTTACCATGATTAGTTTTATCAGCTTGTCGTATAACACGGAAACTGTATCTTAACCTCACCGCCCCTTGCCTTACCTCAGGTCTTTTCAAAAGTCATCATTATCAATTATTATCTTCATGCCTAGTACCTCAGCCATATCTTGCCTTCTCCCAGCCTAGTCCTTCTCGGGGCCAAGTCAGCTAGCCTCTGCCCGTAGGCTCGCTGACACACCAAATCGGGGGTGTCAGTTATCATTGAGACAGCAAGATGCTGAAGTCTAGTCTTTAACCAGCCTTGCCTGCTGCTTATTCTTTATGTGGAGAGCTTAATAGCCGTTGATCCGGGGCCTTGTTTACCTCACATTTTATCCCATTAGGCAATCATGTTCGTTCAGTGTTATGTCTTCCGTTCATTCCGCTTTTCGTTTTTTTTCTGGCACACCTATTGAGTGTATTGTAAAATGAAACAAAATAAAATAAAATAATCATTAACGAATAACAAACTACGGCACCCGTTCCGGGCAGGTGTGAAAATAAGTTCTGCTTTGGGCAGAAATGAAAAATTCCTTTCACATACATATATACACACGGACAAACACACAACGCCTAAATACGATACATAGTGCCAAGTACTCTGGGAACTTCACTTTAAGCAACGTAAGAGAACACAACCTTAAGAAGAAGAAGTCATCAACGGCAAAGCGCTGATGTTAAGTTTATAACTGGAGCGGAATGGATGTGAATAGAGCAAGTATTATCATTGTTAACGCGAAGCATCCCAGCAGAACCGAAAAATTGCGTTTTTATAGCCTTTTTTTGCTTCAGAAAAAGGTTTTTTGTAAATGTCATGAAACTCAGAACAATAGCTTTCATTTAACCTGTTTTTTGTTTACGAATGAGTCTCAAAAATTAATGAAAGTTGCGGAGTTCAATATAAATGAGTCCAATGCTTTTAAATTTTGCGCAGAAAGTCGCGCACAATAATGCTGACTTATTTGTTAAGAGTGATTTTCAACGACTGCGACGTTATCATTACTTCTAGTCGTGTCATGACGATTAAAATGATACGTAATGTTGCAGGGTTTCGTTGAGAATCCATAAAGATCAACGACCAGAGCCAAAGATTCCATCAGCTCTAATCTTTTTCCTCTGCTTGTCTGCTCCTCCACGTGTTGCGCATTGCCTCGCTACCCCAAATGCCAAGAACGAGGCATTTGGCTCTGGAAGGCAATCCTTATTCGGAGTTCTGGACCCAATTCGAGCAAACCATAGACTATTTTGAAGCTCTTGACTTTCACCCCCAACTTTTGATTTGAACGAGAAATGGCTAAAATCTGCTCTTAGAAATCTCCCTTTTTCTTCAGCCTAATTTCCTTTACGCGCTTTTTTCGTGCGAAAAATTTTGCTTTTATCTGTAATGTAGACAACGTCGCAGAACTCACTTCTTTGACAGTGGTGAGATATCATGACTTATAATAAGCCGCTTATTTGTCGGTCTGTAAGTCTGTCGGTTACGAAAATACAGTGAGGAATGATTTACAATACACTGCAGCATGTGAGGTTCTGATAGCGAGCATGTTTCATTTTTAATTAGGGCTATCTCACCGCAGTGAACCTGGCAATAATCTGAAAGAAAGCCTTCACATCGTAAGTTTATCATCGTTTCTTGATGGCCAGTGCGAGCCTCTGCGAAGCAGAGGTGAAGCACTGGTTCGCTAATAAGCTTCAAACATGCGTTTTTGCTCATAGCTTTTTATTGGACTTACTAGATGAACATTTTTCCTAGGCATAGGGGCATCTTGCCCAGAATTTTAAGCAGAACAAAGCTGACATTGTTGCCAGCAACAAAAGCTACGAAGGGGGTAAAAATTCAAAGAACGCATCAAAAGCTAGATTGGATTTGACGTGCAATTCGACTTGGCAAAAAACTTTACGCTTCCAAACCTGTTCTTTTGAGTTTATCTTATGATAGCCACCAAATCCGTATATATTTGTTTTAAAGCAATCGCAAAATTTCCCTCCTTTTCCCCGTGTTATGGATTGCCTGGTTCTGAAGCGAAAACTGCAACTCAACATGCCGCCAGTGAAAGATTTCAAACACATTGCGGCGTTTTCATCCGCTTTTCAAGTTTTTTTCGCTTTTGCTGATTGTTTTGCTTTTTCTTCTATATTTTCTGAAACAACCCTCACTTTCCATGAGGGGCAGATATTCAAACTTTCACTTTTGAGTCCCTCGCCAAGGTATGACGCAGAGACACACACAACACATAAACAGACATTCAGCTTCATATGTAAGGATTTTGTATCTAATTTCTAATATAAGAATGTAAGAAATAACCAATGGCAAGGCTATTACAAAATTAGTCGGTTTGTAATCCAACGCAAAGCTATGTAATAAAAATATTGCAATCGATATAAGAATGACGAATGTACTAGGAGATTTCTGCATGGAATCAATGGAGACAGTTAGTGTAGCAATGGAATTATAAGCGAAAAATTCCGACAAAAACAAAGTTAGAGGGAAAGCGTTGAAGAAAAAAACTTTCGATCGGAATGATATCATCTACCGTACGAATTATCAAAATCTAAGTGTTTAACTCAATAGGTAAAATTGCAGCTGAGAACTTTGTCCTGTAAGTTTCGAGGTCTTCAGCGAACTTCCATTCGCTAGAGCCTTCACGGAGATATTCCACACTACGCAGAGTAGTTGAAGCGTTTTCTCTAGAAGGACTTCTGTGCTACTGACATTTCGATTTTTTTCAATCTGCATACCCTCCTATAGCGTAAATCGTGTTGTTGTAGGATAAGACCGACAGATTCTTGCGAGCTACCTGCATTGGAGGTGCGTAGGACCAACAGTTTGACACCGGATCAAAAAATATAACAGTATTCAGTACTTCTCTTCCATCATCCCTGAAAAATATAGAATATGTGATACTAGAATTCGATTGACCGCGCGCAGTCCTCTCTTTCTGCCACCTTAGATAAAATGCAGTTTTCGACATCCCATTTGTTTGTTCCTGACACAGACATTTTTAGAATTGTTTCATCACTTGAACAGCATAACCTTCGAAGGTAAATGACTTACAAAATATTTGGTTGGCCCGAAAATTCTGTTGCACCATTTTCAAAATTCATAACTTCTAGTCTTTTCAACCGATTTGACTGCTTTTATTTTTATGTGAAAGAGAAAGTCATGCCCTTCATAATGACGTCTTATCTGCCTATTATTATCATCTTTTGCATAGATAGGAACGATAGAAGAAAATTAGTCGAAATTCTAATTTTCTGTGTAGGGTCATAAAAAATCGGAAACTTGCAACAAAATCCGAGAAGTCGGCATTATAGGTCCTATTACCTGCTCTTTCTAACTGTGCAGAGTTTGTGCTGATTGGAAGTTTCTATCAAATGTTATGATTTTCGAGGGAAATGCCAAAATAAATCAAAATTGCCTTTTTGTATTGCTTGCTCGAGAATCATAACTTTTCATGGAGATGGTCAATCATCACAACTGCACAGTTAGAAAGAGCAGGTAACAGGACCTGCAATACCGATTGCTTCAAATTTTGTTGCAAGATTCCGATTATTTATGACCCTACACAGAGAATGTGAATTTGGACTAATTTTCTTCTATTGCTTCTATCTATGCAACAGATGATCATTAGTAAGCAGCTACGATGTCTTGATAAAGAGCATGACTTACTCTTTCACAAGAAAAGCAGTAAAATAGGTTGGAAAAATCAGAAGTTATGAATTTTTGAAAATGGTGCGACAGAACTTTCGGGCCAACCTAATACTTGGAAGAAAATTTGGCTGGCCGTTAGGGATTATTGAGGAACAAAAGTTGGTTAACACGTTTTTTATGACAGTATGGTTCTGTTTAACATGCTCATAGGAAAAACGATAGAAACAGTTAGGGCCGCATGCATTAAACGCAGTTTAAAAACTCGATTTTGAGGTTTTGTGCTCACCCGGGCCTATTCGCCATGCTGACTTCGAAAATCCACACTGGAAAGCGCGAAAACGGCGAAAAAGGCTCTAACGCAAGAGGGATCAGAAGTGGGCGAGGTGTTCCCCACTGCGAATTTCGCGGTCCCAGCTTCTGAAGCGATTTGCTCAGATCCGTTAGCGCCAGATCTCCACAAGCCAAGTGCAAATGCATGACTTGAATCGGGACCGAATCGCTCCGGAAGCTTGGAGCGTGAATCCGCAGTGAGGAAGACCCCGCCCACTTCTGATCTCCCTCACGCATTAGAGCCCTTTTTCGCCGTTTTCGCGCTTTTTAATGTGGATTTTTAAATTCAGCATAGTGATTAGGACTGGGTAAGCACAAAACTCAAAATCGTCTTTTTGCCCGGACACTGTCTTTAACAACCTAAGGGAGAGAATTGTAGGTCAACAGAAAGCGTTATATACTGAAGTCTAAATATATGGATTTCGCTGTTGATTTATCCGTAAATATTCCTGCCATGCTTTACTACAAACATATTGGGAAGGAGGGAGAAGCAGTACAGACCGCATCTTTGACTTTTTGTTAATCTCTTGCGTTCCCAGCGGCCAACCGTCTCTTCTTCAAAATATTTTTCTTTCTTCAAAGTAAATGAAAACATTCCAAATCTGTAAGAATTGATTGAACCTACAGTGGTTAACATGTTTCTAAGAATATATGAACTACAATGTCGAAATTTTCAGTAAACTTTTACTTTCGACTTATGCATCATTGCAATTTTCACTTCGATACATCATTTTTTTATCAGCACAATGCTTAGCACTGCTCGGTCTGATAATCATTAGAAATTTGGCATGTTTTCATTAACTCTGAAGAATGAAAATGTTGAAGAAAAGACGATCGGCCGCCGGGGATCATCAGGGCATCGTTAAAAAGCTGGAAAATGTGGCCTGTTAGCTTCTCGCTCCTGTTCGGGTTTGTTCATAGTGAAGAATAGAAGGAATACTTACGAATAGGTAGACAGCATAAAATCCGGATACCTGGAGCTTCAACAAATGAAGCTTTCTTTCAAGCTGCGATCTGTTATCCGGCAGAGAGTTAATGCACGCGGCCTTTGGAGATAAATAAGGAGCGTAAGAGTTTTCAAGCTACAAAGCTTTCTTTTAACAATGAGCTGAGCACCCCTCCCCGTGTTGTGCAGTGAATCTTGAAGTTAGCTCTACCGAAAAGTTTGTATATAGAGGTCGCCGAAAGGCATTGGAAAAGAGGTGTTTACTTTTGGGACATTCAGTAAAACATTTTACAAAAGGCAGTTCTTCTTCACCTAGAACTTGTCTACCTCAAAGGAACTTAATCCAAAAAAGCCAACTTGCGAATGTTGAGCTAATTGTTCCATGTTTCTTATGCTCGATTTCTTTTTGCCGGAACATCGTGCTTTATGAGCAGACCACCATGACTACAGGGCCAGCTCGAATCAAAATCCATAAACCCACCCGCCGCAAACGTAGATCTTATTGTTCAGCGTTGTCGCTGCAGCCATTCTCCGGCCTAATTCCATGGAAGGAGCTCTCTCCCACCTGTTTTCAGCAGCACAAAACCGTTCAACACTTTCAAATACAAAGTCACCATGGCCACCAATGACTGAAATTTCATCATAAATGTGGCTCGAAACAAGTTGAAGTATTTGTCTGTGACATGAAGTTCCTTGAAGAACCTCATACACAATGTGCTATGATCAGTATTTGAGAATTTCTCAAGTGTTTTAGCACCGCCTCCCCTTCATTTTTTTGAATTCTATTCAGTCAAAATTTGTTTATTTTTTTATTCTATTCAGTCCCAAAATTTGCTATTCTATAGATTCAAGCATCATACCTCATGTTTCTTGAAAACACTGCTCTCATACATGTCCCAAAAAGCAATAATCACTTTCTTTTGTTGCAATGTTTCTGAACACAATTTTCTTTTCCAAATATTCCCTACCGATTTTCCTATAGTACCAATGATACAATGTCGAAATGGGTGCACTTTATTTTCACAAACTCTAGGTGCTACTCTACAATTTGAAACTTTTTGTATAGATCTTCAGTGAGCAGGTAGCAACTAAACCTTCATTTACATAAGTGCCTTCGTCTATGAATCTGGCAATGCGCGAAACACATCTTATAGTTGCGATGCTTTACCGCAGAGTCGTTAAAGGCAGCGTCAGGCAGATCTGGACCTATGGGGATTTTACGTGGAAGGTAGTGCCCAAGCGGCAGCGCAGGTGGTGCTCTAACGGCTGAGATATTCCCCTCGAAACTGGACTCCGCGATCGTATTCGCATGGATTCATGGCAGCTTCGCGCCAGGATCCACACTTTGCGCCGTAATCCATGCGAAATATGATTGCGGGGTCCAGTTTCGAGGGGAATATCTAGCCGTTAGAGCACTACCTGAGATGCCGGCTGGGCAGTGGCTTAGTTAGGGCCCCAAAACTACTATCCACGTGAGATCCCCATGTGTCCAGACATGCCTGGACGCTACCTTTAAGCAAGTGGCAAACCAAAGATCTTCTCAGGCCTTTTTGAATTACTTTATGTAAGAAAATTCTTTTGTGGCAGATAAAGGCAAAAAACTTGAGAAAGTGCGGTTCTTTAGCGCAGTGAAAGCCCAAAAATTATTTTCCAGCTTCTAATTTCTGAAGACAGGAAAAAACGGGTAAGTTGCACATGACCGATAGCGTAAAAAGCACGAGTGATAATCAAAAGTTGGAGCTTTATAAGGAGTCGTAGGTTTGGTAACAGTCTCTAACAGTCTCTTAACCCAGTGTAGCACTGGCATTTCGGTTGGCTGCACGCGTTTTACTGCGAAACTTTATATAGGTCTCAGTTGAAAGGGAAAGATATGTGCTAACATCCTTCCTCAAAAAAAAGCTGCAATTTTCGAAGTGTATGACTACTTTCGGATCAGAAAAGTAATGATACACTTTGGAAAAAGGAAAGCTACACCACGCGCATCATGTCGACGTGCGGTAACCACACGACGTTCAAACGGCTGGATTCGCGATGGAGCGCGGTCGTGGAGCGAAGCGCGTTATTAACGGACTTTAATTTTTGGATAATCTTTTGAATCTTTTGCATTGAAAGGGATAGCGTTTGGTGATAAAAATGTTTCTCTTTTTGACTGCTTCTTTCTTCGCATGACTTATTGAAATCCTCTCCGGTTGAGTGCATTACTTAGTTCTGCGGCAATAACAGCGGCAGGTTCTATCATTTTAAAGCCATATTCTAACTAGAGCTATGGGAACTGAGGATTGAAATGATGTTAAACCAAGTATGCTTAGTACGTATAAGGACCATATAACATAATCAAATATCTCTTCCGTAGTTCGCCATAACCAGAAGGTAAAGAAGCAGCACAAAAGAGCGATGCAAAAGTGACACATAAGGAGTGGTCGTTGTGATTACCAAGACAGTAATCTCTCAATATTTGGTCAAAAATGCTACAACACAGATAATCGACGGCATAATCTGGAGCGAAAGTGGGAGGGTGCCGGGGTCTTACCAGCGGGGGTTTGCCACTCTTGCTCCGGAGCCCTCCCATTTTACCCGTTTTGGCCCACAGCAATGCAGATTTTCTTCTTTTGTCAAAGTCTTTTTTGTACCTCGACTAACCATCGAAATTTTTTCGTTACTTTCAATCCGAACTTCAAGTAGTGTTTCTCATCGGGTCCACTCCGTATGTTAGACTCCCTTCCCCATTATGTTTTCGCGATCAGCACATTAACTTGTTAACTGTCACATTAACTCGTTTGTTGCCCTTGTTCGATCGTTTCTGAATCTTGGCATTGTTGATAGTTGTGGATAGCTTGTGAGCGGTACTCCAAGATTGTTACAGCTTTTTTTTACTCGTCTGTACCAACTCTCTTTCCCGTAGCCCAGAGTTTGAAAATTAGTAAAACCGTAAAAGTGATAGATACTTCTAGAAATTAAGATTATTAATTTCCAAGTTTCCTCTTTCTTGAACCTCGGCATTGTTAGTATGATGTGTTAGTATGTGAGTAAGCCAGTCGAGGTTAGTAGGTCTTTATTGTTAGTGGCGGCCTAACGTTTCGATCAAATCGTCGTCTTCAGAGGCCTAAAGTGGTAAGAGATTTAGACTTAGTGTCTAACCCACCAAAAACCTCCACCATCCTGGCCAGCCTCGATTTCACCCCCCGAGTCCCACAGACAAAGTCCCAAACGTGAAAGACGAACTGACCTCCTCCACCGTCGGCGCGCGGATGTCAGGGCGGCCGTCCTTGGATGCCACTAGTACCAAATCGAGGCTGGCCAGGATGGTGGAGGTTTTTGGTGGGTTAGACACTAAGTCTAAATCTCTTACCACTTTAGGCCTCTGAAGACGACGATTTGATCGAAACGTTAGGCCGCCACTAACAATAAAGACCTACTAACCTCGACTGGCTTACTCACATACTAACACATCATACTAACAATGCCGAGGTTCAAGAAAGAGGAAACTTGGAAATTACTAACTGATGTACCGCCACGTTTGTTTCCTCTGGTCAAAGAAGCACTCTCGCTTCGACAAAAAGTGGTATCCCTCCGCCAGTCAATCAAATACCTTCAACGGTGCAGGACGTCCGACACGATGCCAAAATTCATTTCAAGCAAGAAACTAGGAGCACTGTGCTGTCTCGAAGAAGATGACTGGAAGATAAAGAAGATCTATCGAACGATTCTGGCAGTCATCATCAAAGAAAAACAACATGCATTGTACTCGTCTTTGCTGAAATGTACTAGAAAAGAAGATGCGTGCCGACGTCTCGTGCCAAATCGGACTTGGCGGAGGATTGAGATCGGCTCGAGATCGATTTGTGCTTCTATCCGATCTGAAGCCAAGACCAGGCTCTGCGCCAAGTACGACAAGCTTCGGAGTGCTGCTCAAAAAAGTTCAGGTAACGTTGAAAGCAGCTTGCCTTTAATCCACCGCTGTGATGAACTTTCAACTCAGAATGAGAATTCTCAATTGGCTAAAGTCACGGTGATTGGCGAAACTCATATCTCTGATAACGCGCTTGGGTTTCTTAGTCTAGGTCCTTCATTCTGCATGGTACAGAAAGTAGACGGGTCTGTTTTCCGGAAAGTCGTTGGTGGACTACACAGACTCCGAGATCAGCTTAGAATAAGGTCTAGACTGAATGTCAACAACCAAGGTCTACAGGATGCTCCAGCGCGAATAATGCCACCAATTCCTTTTCCAAGCTCATTCTACAAAGAACCTCAGCCGTCGGCTGACGCTGACGTCAAGTTTAAGATTCTATCTGCTGGCGTGCTAGCTGTTTACACTCATCAAGCAAAGCACCCAAAACCGACCAACTTGACTCAGTCACAATGGCTTGGTTATAAGGAAATACGTGATCTAGTCTCTAGTAAAGCTGTGCGCATTTCGGTAAGCGATAAGGGTGGTGAGTTTGTGATTCTCCCACAAATCTTGGACAGGGAAATCACAGAGCGCCACCTAAGCGATACGGATACCTATCGCCGCGTTACTGAGCGCGAGTTTCAAGCACAATACAAGCGACTAAATCATGTTTGGTTGGATGTAGGAAGAACAGCGGGACTTCCCGAGAGCTTTCTTAGCAGATTGAAACTGGAAACACCACAGTGCCCAGTCTTTTATAGTCTTGTGAAGACCCATAAACTAGCTGCTACTGATGACGCGCGCTTTTTGAATGCCGAACAGTTGAAAATCAGACCGATCATAAGCTGCGTGGGAGGACCAACCGATCGAATATCCTGGTTCTTAAATAAAATTGTTAATCAACTACTGGACAAGGTTCCGTCTCATTTGACCAACACGAATCATTTTCCGGAACGCTTGCGCAACACGAACTTACAGACGAATTGCGTAGCAGAGTCTTTTGACGTGGTGTCTTTATACACTAATGTTCAAAATGACGATGCATTACAAGCAGTTTCAGAAATGCTCGACAGCTTTGGCAAAAAGATCCAGACCTTCGGATTGAGTAAACGATCGATTATGCTCCTGATCAGAGAATGCCTTTCTTGCAACATCTTCAGATGGTCAGGGACATACTACACTCAGATAAGAGGTCTGGCAATGGGACAGAAACTTGCGCCAGTACTCGCGGTCTGCTTTATGAGCAGAATAGAAGAACCAGTGTTGTCGCGTTTACCTCTTATGTACTGTCGTTATATAGATGACTGTTGTATCATAACATCAACACAATCCGAGATGGATGAGTGTTTTCGGCTGCTTAATCAACAGTCAGAGTATATAAAGTTTACGCGACAACAACCGAAAAATGGCTGGCTTCCTTACCTCAACGTACAGATCAGACTGTTCAACGGCGCGGCGAATGTAAAATGGTATCGTAAGGAAAGTTCCAAGAACATCTTGATAAATGCTCGTTCAGCACATCCATCCGCTACAAAAAGAGCTGTTATTTGTAACATGCTCAAAACAGCAGCGAACGTGTGCACAGGAGAAGAAGAACGGAAGGAATCACAAAGAAAGGCGCTGGAAATTGCTCGAATGAATGGCTACACGCTCCAGAAAGGACGTGCTAGACCATCCACTTCCATCAATAGCAGCCAGCACCACCAGAAAATTCCTCTTTGTCTTCCTTTCGTTTCTGACGCGACTAGTGCTGCAGTGCGGCGATGCATTAACCGTGCGAATTTGAAAGACGATGTCATTTTGGTTGACATTCCAAGTGACAACATCAGGAAGCGGCTAGTTCGTAACAGACTATATGACAACTACTGCAGGGTCCAAGACTGCGTGGTCTGTCCATCTGGTAAAGTTGGCGACTGCGGTAAGACTGGTGTAATTTACGAGATCGAATGTATTGAATGCAGTGCCACCTATATCGGAGAGACTGGGAGACCGTTGGGTATAAGGATAAAAGAACACCTTGCCAGCAAGAAGGGAAGTATTACCACTCCTCTTGGCAAACATAGAGTTGAATGTCACAGTGGTAATGACTTCAAAATTAGATGTACAATACTGGCATTCGAGTACGACACTGCTGTAAGAAAAGCTCTCGAGGCATTCTGGATCTATGCAAGAAACCCAATCATGAACGGCCGAAATGAGTGTTTGTCAATTACAAATGACTTTATGCCTTTTGTGACGTTATGCGAGTTGAAGACCACTAGTGATTAGTCAAATATGGTATACAGTGTATTCCATTACTGGTACTAGTGGCATCCAAGGACGGCCGCCCTGACATCCGCGCGCCGACGGTGGAGGAGGTCAGTTCGTCTTTCACGTTTGGGACTTTTGTCTGTGGGACTCCGGGATGAAATCGAGGCTGGCCAGGATGGTGGAGGTTTTTGGTGGGTTAGACACTAAGTCTAAATCTCTTACCACTTTAGGCCTCTGAAGACGACGATTTGATCGAAACGTTAGGCCGCCACTAACAATAAAGACCTACTAACCTCGACTGGCTTACTCACATACTAACACATTAAGATTATTAATAAGCATGATCGCTTACCTCTCCTACAAACTCCCAGTCCCGTAGCTCGGAATTTGCAAAAAATCAATATAGTCACTATCGATCGAAAACAACAAATAGTAACACATCCGCCCCACCCCGAAGTGTATAGTCAATTCGTCGACCGCACGGACTGGACATCACTGCGGAGCACGCGCCGCGAGGTGAAACGCTTGCTCCAGTACAAATTCGCCATTGCTCAATTTGTGCTCTCGCAACATTCCAGCCGCGCCGCGCGTGGTTCGCAACTTTGAGTAGTCTGTGCGGTCAATGAATTGACGATAGTGAGGAAGGTTTGGTCCGGATATTATCTCTGAAAGAGCAAGTTGAAGTCAAGTGAAGAAATCCGCTCTAATCACAATCCGCGCTCTAGGGGCAAATCTATCCGTTTGTGCGCCATGTGGTTACCGTATGTTCATAATGCCAACTTTGGTTAATCCAGATTGAGGCAAAATGTGACTTAAGGATTGTCTACCGTTTTTCACTCAGTTACACGACTTCCAATCTTCCTACTACTTTATACTATACTATTCCTCCTTTTAATGTAATGTTACGTCACCTATACGCTGTTCACGAGTCAATTATTAGGAAGTCTGCAAAATGCGGCTTTCGGGTTTCTTGCGCTTTTGCGATTTCAGCCATTGACCACTGTCGCGCTATGCTCTTTTTTCAAACTCTAACGGCAAGTAAATCATAATCGGTCATGTGGCTGAAGGCCCGTATATCCACAGCACGCTTGTGCTAGCAACATGTTTGCATTTTGCGGAGACTTGTCAGAGTCGTGCAGGCTGTAATAGAGACTGCAACGTTGCCTTAGAATGCAAGATCATCAAATACAGCTCACCGTAAAGTACGTCATTAAGAACGGCAACAGCGCAATCTTTTCGACGTATAGACATGGAAGGGGCTGTCGCCCACATATTTCTTTGGAAATCAAAGACCTGCAAGAATTGATGTTGAAGTGCAATTTACAAGGCATGCCTCTCATTATTAGCTTGAACGATACCATTAGTTGAACTAGTTCAACACTGGCTCTTCGTTTCCTCATAGTGAGCTTAAAGGCAGTGTCCAAGCAAAAAGTCGATTTCGAAATTATGTGCTTACCTGGGCCTATTCGCTATGCTGAATTCGAAAACCACTGCAGAGCGCGAAAAGTGCGAAAAAAGGCTCTAACGGAGGGGGGAATTGCAGGTGGGCGGGGCTGTTCACAAAGTGGTGTCATTTTCCCAGCTTCAGGAGCGATCTTCTCGCTTCGCTAACCGCACCGCACTAACATCATCACCACCCAACTGCGAAACGCATGACATAAAATCGGAACTGAGAAAATCGCTCCTAAAGCCTGGGAGAGTGACGTCGCGGTGTGAACGAAATCTTAAAATCAACTTTTTGATTGGACACTGCCTTTAAGCTTTTGATTCCTCTTTAAATAGAACAGATCGGTTGCTTTGAGGGAAAAGCTTTTTCTAATATTTAAAACATAGCTGAAGTGCTTGCGTTTTTTTCACATTTCACCCAAAAGCAAGTTTCGCTGAATTAGGAGCACCGCGGTTACTGGAGGGGGGGGGGGGGGGGGGGAGGGGTAGGGGGGCTCTCTGCGGACACGGACGCGGTAGAGATGTTGTAGCATAGGCTGCTTTCATACTGATCTGTAAAGTCGGAAGCCCTTTCAGCACGCTGCTCGAACTGAGCCCTGTGCTGGAACTGCTCCCTAACTTCGGGATCAGTCAGTAAGAACGCAGCCATAAGGTGCAACAGCGATTTATCCTGTGTACTACGAAAAGGGCTTGCATACTTTAGAATTATCGAAAGCAAAGTTTTTGTAGTTTGAAAAAACTATTCAGCTCTCATTTAGATAGTCTCGGTTGTTGAGTTGCCTTCTGAGCAATAATGGTAATAAAAAAAACGTTCTCTTTGGTACTGCGTCAAAGACAGCGTCGGGGAAGATATAAAATTGTAGCGTACGGTACAGTTGTAACCAAATTCTCGTATTCGATTAACTTATTCGAATTACATTCGAATATTAATAGTCGAATAATCGGCAATTATTCGACTATTCAAATGATTCGAATGAATGAAAAAGGTCTTTATTGGAGTGAATCGTTCTTCTGACAAATCGGAAAATTAACTTAAGGGCCGGTCATACCGGTCAGCGATCCATCGCGTCGCTGACTTTCCCAAAGGACAAGTGTTACAAGGCCGGAGATAACTGCGTATCTGTGCTGGCTGTCCGGCGCGATGCATCGCGGGCCGTTTTCTACCCGGCCATACCGATTTGAGCGAAATCGCCGCGATCGTCGCTCGCCCTAGCGAATTCGCGTCGCTCATTTCAAATGCGCGACGCATGGATCGCTAGGATTGGGATCTCTTTCCAGGAAAGTTTTATGATTGTTCTTTACTTTTAAGCTGGTCTCGTGTCTGGGAATTGTAAACCATTTCAGTTTTGTCAAAGTGCATTGGTTTTCCGTGAAATGGAAGCCTTTTGATTTATCAGCAATTGTCACTCACGCTAAATGCCTTGCACACTTCCCAAATTTGCCAGCTATCTGGTTTTCAACTGATGTGTGTTTCGTGGGTACGGCTCTACTATTAACTATTATAACGTTTCTTTGTGTTCTTTATTACCTCAGTATCCTCATCACGGGCATGACTTTTGTTGGTCAACTCTCAGGAGCTAGTTGTACATATTCCGCGGCTAATCTGCACCGGATTCAGTGATTGTCAGATATTCATGACTTTTATATGAGAAGTTTATGCTGGTACAAATTTGTTTCTCAGAAACGAGCGTAGTGTGAGAATGCACACATCGCCGCGGTGGTATGCCCCCTTATTCGAGCGATCAGCGATCCTTCGCGCGTTTTCGTCAAGGGCCGGTCATACCGGTCAGCGATCCATCGCGTCGCTGACTTTCCCAAAGGACAAGTGTTACAAGGCCGGAGATAACTGCGTATCTGTGCTGGCTGTCCGGCGCGATGCATCGCGGGCCGTTTTCTACCCGGCCATACCGATCTGAGCGAAATCGCCGCGATCGTCGCTCATCCTAGCGAATTCGCGTCGCTCATTTTAAATGCGCGACGCGATGGATCGCTAGGATTGGGATCTCTTTCCAGGAAAGTTTTATGATTGTTCTTTACTTTTTTAAGCTGGTCTTGTGTCTGGGGATTGGAAACCATTTTAGTTTTGTCAAAGTGCATTGGTTTTCCGTGAAATGGAAGCCTTTTGATTTATCAGCAATTGTCACTCACGCTAAATGCCTTGCACACTTCCCAAATTTGCCAGCTATCTGGTTTTCAACTGATGTGTGTTTCGTGGGTACGGCTCTACTATTAACCATTATAACGTTTCTTTGTGTTCTTTATTACCTCAGTATCCTCATCACGGGCATGACTTTTGTTTGTGAACTCTCAGGAGCTAGTTGTACATATTCCGCGGCTAATCTGCACTGGATTCAGTGATTGTCAGATATTCACGACTTTTATATGAGAAGTTTATGCTGGTACAAAATTTGTTTCTCAGAAAAACGAGCGCTCTGCTGGAGCGGAGCGTGAGCGATTGTAAAAATCAAATAAGTGTTCGAATTAGCACGACAGAGGAGTTATCAGATTTGCCAGACATAATCTCAAAGAAATCTATAAAATAGGAAATTTTGCAAAAGCACAAGGAACTAAGTTACAAGCGTAGATAGCAAACATAGACTGTTACTGGTATCCATCTCTTTGAGCGAAGTTATTTGCCGTGACGTAGTGTGAGAATGCACACCTCGCCGCGGTGGTATGCTCCCTTATTCGAGCGATCAGCGATCCGTCGCGCGTTTTCGTCGCTAGTTTCCACCCAGTCGCGACGATCATCCATCGCGGCGATGGATCGCTGACCGGTATGACCGGCCCTTCACTAGTTTCCACCCAGTCGCGACGATCATCCATCGCTGCGATGAATCGCTGACCGGTATGACCGGCCCTTTATTCGAATATTCGGATATTTGGAGAATTACAAAAGACAGTTGATAGAATATTCGAATATTCGACTTTGCGTTTGAATATTCGAATATTGCATTCGAATATTCGATGAGTTCCAGTTATCGTTCATTCGAATAGTCGAATCTTCGATTAAGTTCACTTATTCGATTATTATTGAAAAGTTCGAATTTTGGAATGCGCCCATATTCGAATACTCGAAACTCGGATAATAAAAAATCGAAGGTCCAATAATAATATTCGTTCATTCGAAATACTTCCAAAGACCAATTATTCGATGTCACTTTTGAAAAATTTCCGGGGATTAATTAAACGATATTTGTTCATTCGATGAAAATTTTCTTTCGTTACAACTATAGCGTACAGGAGCTCCGCCCTGAGAAAGCTCTTGCCCAAGTGGCATTGCACTACTTTGCTTCTGAAGCGGGAAAACCGCTTCAGAAGTGGTGACCGGAACGACCCTGCGACCTGCCCGCCCTTTCAATCGATGGTCCGAGTATATACGTATGTCGCACACATGGTTCCCCCATGACTCTGCGTTTTAACCTCGACGGCAAGCGTCCATATTCAAAGATTCTCGAATAGCCCGTTTTCCACATTTTCATACTCTGCAAGCTGCATTATTGAAATCAACGGAAACGCCCGGGTAAAAATTTTTTTCGAAGTTTTGCCCGGACGCTGCCTTCAAAAGTAATCCAGAAAAGTGGAAACGAGGCAACACTAACAAGGGAAGGATACTTGGTCGAAGTGGGGTTTCCATATGAAATGTATACTATCTTATAGAGCATGGAACGCTGAATCCAAATCTGCTTTTTTTATCTGCAAAGCGCTTCTAGGAGGGGAGTTCTGGGAATTGGTTTTTGGTAAAAATTCAGTGGCTTGGCTAAGGTAAAAACACTGTTTTGCTGTTAAGATCTTACCGGCGCTTGAAAGGAGTAATGACTGACAAGAGCTTATTAGATTGAAGGTAGTATTGCATGCGTAAAATGCCCGGTAGTGACCATAGCCCCCTCGAGCTCATAGACTGCACCTTAAGTGATTTTATGGTAGCCGCGCGTTCGAATTTTTACTCCAAGAAATCCCCATAACTTCCCTCCGAGAAGCGCTTTGCAGCTATGGAAAGCAGATTCGGAATCAGCGTCTCAAGCTCTATAAGACAGTATGCATTTCGTAATGAAACGCCACTTCGACCAACTATCGATTCCTTGTAAGAGTAGTCAATCAAACACAGTCTTTGCAAGAACAAGTAAATCATAGCGAATCGAGACTCACTTCTACTGTGCTGGTTACTTCTGGTGTGGTTCGGTCGTGATAATGATCACGATTGGTAGATCCTCCACATGCGTAAAGTTTGCTTCCAAGCACAGCAACTGATAAGTGGGCTCGTGGTGTAGGCATGTTGGGCATCTATGTGACGAATAAGAACAACGTTGAATTTAATTCATGGGACGTTTTACCGTAGTCCATTTTAGTGAAGAAAAGTCAAATTTTTGCATGCTGTTGAAGGGACGCGATTCCTCACCATTGTGTCCTCCCACAATATAAATCTAAAATCCATAAGCATGTTGAAGAGTCTGTTCTTTCTCAGGTATGGTGTCAAATGTTCAGTCAACGTCATGCCAGTGGAGCTCAAAGGCAGCGTCTAGGTCAATTGAAAGATGATGGGATTTTGATGCAGTGCAGGGGAACAGCTCCTGCCTGATGCAGCAATTCATCCGACCACAAAAGGCGGATGCTGAGGAAAGGAAACTGTTTCAGAATCGCTTCGGAAGAAGGGTGGTACGCTAATCCCGCCTCCTTGACAAGTTTTGACGTGGTTAATGCATTAGATTCACAGCATTCGCCACGTCAAAACTTGTTATGGATGTGGGATTAGCGTACCGCCCCTTTTTTCCGAGCCGATTTTGAAGCGGTTTTCTCGCTTCAGAATCCACCTTTTCGATCGGAGTTCAACCGTTGCATTAATCAGGAGCCGTGCTCCCGCACTGCGTCGAAATCCCATTACCCCATGTTGACCAGGACAATGCCTTAAAGGCAGCGTCCACGCAAAACTCCGCCTCCCATGTTTTTGCCATTTTGGGGCCTTTCCGTGCTCATTACAGTTATAAAGTTCAGATTGTCCAAAACTCCCCCAAAACCCAATTTATGCATATTCTGTTTTGAGGGTGAGGACGACTTTCTGTACATGAGTGGGTGGAGCTTATAGGATCTAGGGGGGGGGGGGGGGGAAGGAGGGGCTTGATAGCACTTTGGCTGTTCCACACCCATTACCTTCATTCAAAGACGACACTAGAGGACCGGGCCAAGGCAGGTGCTGTTCTCCTGGGCCAAAAAGTTGGCATCCAACTTAAATGCAGTGCCCAGATACTTTGGAATACTCGATTTTTTTTTCGAATAGTCGAATAATCATATATTCGAAAATCAAAAATATCGATTAATCGAACTTCGAATATTTTCAAAAAGAAATGTCGATTATCCGAACATCGAATATTTCCGAGATCAAAAATGCCAAATAATCAAATATCGAATACTTTCGAAATAAGAAAATTGTCGAATAATCGACCATCAAATATTTTCGAAGTGAAAATCTTTTGAATAATCGATTATTTTCGAGAAGAAAATTCAACAAATGCTTTGCATCGACTATGTCAAATTTTCGAAAAAATTGTAATCGAATTAGCACAATGAGATAATTCATGTAGTGAACAAGTCAAAATACAAAGGATATTTGCTGATATAACAAATGTGACGCTGTCATCTAGTTATTCGATTACACGAAAATGTCGAATGATCGAATAACTATTGAAAGTAGATATTCGAATGTTCGAAAATTTTCGGAAATCAAAGATCTCGAATAACCGAATAATCGCAAATTCGAAATTGGCAAATATCGAATAAGCAAATATTGAATACCAGTGCGTCACCTCTGCTTCGCAGAGGCTCGCACTGGCTCTACTATCTATGTGCCTTACTCATTCTCGTAAAATCGTGGCAATGGAACTTACCGCACTATGCCGACTACCACGAATTAAATGTAAACAGCTACTCATTCAGAAAGTTTTTTCACGTGAGATCGGTGATTTCGCGTGGATGAAACTTTTCGTAGGAAGACAAACGCAAATTTGAATAGGTTTTTGAAGTTGTCATGGCTTGGTAGTCCCCTTAAAGGCAATAGTAACCGTGAGCTACATCTCCGTGCGAAAATCTTTTGAAACGCTTAGCTAGAACCTTAGCAAATTAACCATTTACGCAACCAACTCTTTCTGGCGCCGTTTTCGTTATGTAGCAAACTTTTGACCACTTTTTGGGCTAAAGTCCATCGCTTGCACATTTGCTTACCAAACACATCCAGGACTTTGCAAAAAGTGGTGATATGGACCCAATTTTGCGGGACAGAAGCCAGGTGGATCCGTTTGGCGCGCAATTTCTGAGGGACCCATTCAACGAATCTATTCGTGCTTTTGCACGTTGAACTTTCATGAAGGTAGCATGCGCTATGCAAAATTTGGGCTTAAAACGCTGGCTGGAACACGCTCTACGAATTTCGTAACAGACGGACACACACACACGCAAAAACACGTAAACAACCCTTAGCCCGTTATTATAAGGTCTTGATACTCGAGATTTTGAAATTTTCGAATATTTGAGTACTTCATTTGAATACTCGAATATTTATTTGATTCGGTCCAAAGTATAATGTCCAGGCTAAATCTAACCTCCTTCGACTAGAGCCGACCCTGAATGTAGGCTCCAGGAGAAGGGCATCCGTTGGTTCGGTCCTCTTGTTGTCTTTGAATAGATATAATGGGCCTGAAACAGCCAAAGTGCTATCATACCCCCCCCCCCCAGATCCTATCAAACACTCATGTATGTAAAGCCGTCTGCGCTCTCAAGACAGGATGTCCACGAATCGGGTTTTTGGGAGATTTGGACAATTTGAACTTCACAACTGTAATCAGGGCCACGGAAAGGCCCCAGAATGGCAAGAACATGGAAGACAAAACTCTGCGTGGACGCTGCCTACAAATGAGAAGAAAGTTTGAGACGGCTTCATTTCAAATTACATAATTCACATAGGTCTCCATAATTTCGACTATAGTTGAAAAGTCCTTCATGTGCATAAGCACACCGAACTTGAGGTCTTGCCTGATCTTTAAAAACAAGCCATTTATTAGTGCAATACAATGACCCGCGCTTGTGATTGCGTCTAAAGGCAGCGTCCAAACAAATCTGGACCTATGGGAATTCTACTTGTTCATTTTGGGGCCCCAACTAAGGCACGGCCTAAGTGGCAGCGCCATTGACTCACTAAGCTGGGATATACGCCTCTAAACTGGACTTCAGGATCGTATTGTTGGACGACTTGCATCGTGTTTGCATGCTTCCGCGCGAGGACTCACGCTAAACTATGTGTCGCGCCGTTAATCCGCAATATTCTGGGGTCTTTGAAAGGGGTCCAGTTTGGAGGCGAATCTCAGTCGGTAAACACCATCTGAGCTGCCGGTTGGTCAGTGTCTTAATTAGGGCTTCAAAATTATTGTCCACGTGAGACCCGTGCATTTTGCCGGCGCCGGCGCCATCGATCGAGGCGGCGCCACTGATGCCCGGGCGCGACGCGGTCGCGCGACCGCTGGTGCAAACGACTCTGCAATTTAGGAGCCCTGTAACTGATGACCCTGTCTACACTCATTACTAATGAGAATTCTCAGAAGGAATTCTAAAACATAAGTTTTGCTTTCGTTTCCGCTCCGAACCTTGGAAAAATGCCTCCACGTTGTTTTCGAATGCGATATCTAGCTTGCCGTTTGGCAGCCATGAAGAGCCGCGGTCTTATCTTATAGTTTGATTATGACTCTTTTAAACTGCTCAGCTGAAATAACGATAGGATTCTAATCCTACTTTATCAACAAATTATTAACGTTTCAAAAAATCGTGTGCCTTTTTCGAATCACTGCAGAATCATATGCATTGAAGACACACAAAACATTTCCTCAGACAGTCGATCGGACCCCTCCGGCGCAGAAATGGCACGGCCGCGGGGTTTCCCCAGCGGGGGGTCTGCCACTCGTGCGCCGGAGCCCCCGATTTTGTGCGCCGGAGCCCCCCCCCCCCCATTTTGTGCTCCGCAAGTCTGCCGCGGCATACTGTAACTAACCCTAAATAAGCTCCAAACCCCAATTATGTCTTTAAACCCCACCCAAATTAGCCGAATACGACCCCCCCCCCCCACCGGGTAGAACTTCAGCGCCCCCGTACTCTACCCCCTCCCTCTCACCCCTAGCGTTTGTAGATAGAGAAAAGAAGAATGAAGACAAGACGAAACATTTATTTCAAATTGACTGCAAAACGATTTACTGAAAATTGCAGTTGTTTTGATTTGCAACCAACTCTGTTTGTGCCAGATGTGATGAGATGCAGTTCGATCACTACGGGCTTGGTTATCGGGAGGAACAGCTCCGGTCGAGTTCAACGTTGTGTGGCCCTCGAGCGATTCTTCCAGAAAACACACTCTGGATAACATTGGTGGAGTGGCCGTGGATGTTAATCGGAATTTTTTTAGTGATAGGTGTCGTGATTTGTGGTTTTTCCAGGTTTATAAGTGCGAAGCTCTTGCATCGAACTGTGGCCGATGTCTTACGCTGAATGCTGAAAAGTATGAATGTGGCTGGTGTGTTATAGACAACAGATGTGTTAGACCAATGGCATGCTTGGCAAGATCACCACAAGATTGGCTGAATAGCACGCAGCTGTGTGCAAATCCAGCTAATGAAGACTTCAGTCCTAAAAAGGAACCCGTCGGTGGAAAAACGAAGGTTAGGTCTACTGCTGCTGCGTTCACCTGTGGAATTGTCGCTTTTACTAGCAAGAAAGTACTATCAGGTGGGGTGACTATGTGTAATGAGACTAGTGAGCCAGTAACTAAACGTACCTTGCCAAGCATCTTGCCAAGCATGCCATTGGTCTGACACATTTGTTGTCTATAACACACCAGCCACATTCATACTTTTCAGCATCCAGCGTAAGACATCGGCCACAGTTCGATGCAAGAGCTTCGCACTTATAAAAATGGAAAAACCACAAATTACGACACCTATCACCAAAAAAATTCCGATTAACCTCCACGGCCACTCCATCAATGTTATCCAGAGTGTGTTTTCTGGAAGAATCGCTCGAGGACCACACAACGTTGAACTCGACCGGGGCTGATCCTCCCGATACACTAAGCCCGTGGTGATCGAACTGCATCTCATCACAAGCACAAACAGAATTGGATGCAAAATCAAAACAATTGCAATTTTCCTCATATCACATTGTCGTCGAATGTCCCGACAGCAGGTTTTTCGCGTTCAACGTTTCCTACTTTGAAGTGACATCGAAAATCCGTCATGAAGATCGGATCAAGGTTTTGGACCTTACAAATCCAAGCTCAAAAATGAGCACTTCGTAGAATATACCACTCACCTTCACTGTGATATCTCTCCTTTCACCTGCAACTACGTAAAGTTTGGTTTGCGGTGCGACGGTACGTGGACATTTCTGTGGACCT